TCTCACTGAATACTAAGAATAGACAAAAATATGATATCCATTTTTTTTGGCTTCTCAAATACCGCAAATACGTTGATTAAAAAAAGAAAAAAAGTCGTACAGTCACGTCACTTTTGGTTGCTCTCCCCTCCGCTATGATTCGTCTTCTCCAGGCCAGTTTCGATTTCGGTTTCGAGCAGTTAGCTTTTTTTTTTTTTTTTTTTACTTTATTAAAAATATATGTTACGGTGTAGCAAAATATTGATTGGATAGCCTTCTCGCACCATAATAAATCGCCTGGCAAAACAAAAACAAAATTTTTGGGGGGTGTCAGTGTCCCTTTAATTTAAACATAAACATGTATATCATATACTCCTACGAACACCCTTCGCTCGATAAACATTTCCTTTGAAGTAGCTCTGTGCCACAGTGGAACAAGCAATTGAATACTTTCGACTGTGTTCCCAGAATAGGTCCACCGAATTGGACTTCACGGTAAAGGGTAAAAACACGAACACGACATAACCTTAGCCACTCGTAGCGCACTCGGCGTTCGTTACTTATGCATTCAGACATTATCAAGGTGCGTGTGCGTGTATCATCGTTCCACTAGTCTTAAGGGCATTACGTTTCTAGCACATTCACGCGACGCATCCGGGGATTTGCAACGCGTGCTTGCAGATTCGTGATCCCCGTCGCGCGTTGAACCGGCGAGGCCCGCGCGAAATTCGAGGAACGGGATTACTCTTTTTTTTCTATCCCCGTGTTTCACGCTCTCGAACTTGGGGTGATGATCTCAGTCCGTAGGAACTGCGGGATTTTAGCCGCCCCTGATACGATCTCTAAAGCTTCCGTGTTTTCTTTCTTGCGGAATACCGACTTGAGAACTCTTCCTGTTCTCGCTAGTTGCACGTATAGTATCGTTGCTTTCACTACGACAACGGTCGTGTGCGTGTACGCGTGTTCGTCCGCGTGCGCCGTCTGATACCGCACTACTTTCTCGAACTTGCGCTAGAACCCATCTGAGTTTTACTCAGTATTGAATCTTTGTTACGCTACGCGATGTGATTGTCAGTGATTGCCAGTTTGTGTGTGTGTGTGTGTGGGGGGGGGGGGGGAGGGGGGAGGTCATGTGTTTGTGCGCACGGGCGCGCTTCAAGTGTGCGTGCGTGCATGTGGTGTCTGTATGTGTGTGTGTGTGCGCTTGCTTGCTTTGTGTGTGTGTGTGTGTTTGTTTGTAATTATTTCCTTCCTTGATCCCCAGTTTGTCCCTTGTTCTGGGGTTCGTGGAAGACTAGTGATCATTAAGTGCTGGTGGTTGCGGAGACGGTGTCTTGAAGGGTCCGTTGTAATTAGCGAGGTTAATTAAAGTCGTGTTTTTTTCTTCTCCTACTTTTTTTCTTCTAATTAATGGCGGAAAAGCGAGGGTGTAGTTTGTTTTCGCACCTTAATCAAGAGAAGTTCTTCCTACTGGTTTCATATCCGAGGCGCCCACCAAACTTCTCTTTTTTTTTCTTCACTCTTTTTTTTTTCGAAAATGGCTTGCGGACTTGCGGGAAGTTCTCAGAGAAGAGGGCTTTGGAAAGTTGTGGCTCTGAGCGGAGGGAACTCTGAGAAATGGTCGCGAGGCTTGAGCCTTGCGCAATTGCCCGTTTTCCCGGCAGTCGTTTAATGGGAAAACGAAGGCAGAGTAATATATTTTTGTCAAATTACTTCTTTTTATTTTTTTTAACGTCGGTTGTCGTTATTTCCCAGGGTTTCCAACGAATACCCGGGTAGGCAGGGTCGTGGCGCTCCGCTCAATGTAGCCAGGAAAAATTTGCCCGCCAAGTTTACTGGAAGAAAGTTTCCCGCTATACTTCGCCGCGAAAATGCTACATACATTTTTATGCTACATTTAGCGGGGGAAATGCACAAATGCTGTCTATGTGCAGTAACCTGTGAGGCAATGTCTGCAACAGTGTGCGCAATGTGTGCAAAGCGAACTACGGCTGTCAAGGCAAGGGACCGGTATTTTCATTTGTCACTTTTGTATGACTTGTTTTCTTTGCTTTTGTTTGCAAGGCCGGGGGGGGGGGGGGGGGGCTATATGGATCTGGCCAACAGCAGCACCTCGATTAACCCATACCTGTGTTGGGTTTGGGTCTTTAATAACTTTCAGTAAAACTTGAGCTCTAGCCTGGCTGCAGACTTGTACGTAGTTCAACAACTCTACTCAAATTACTGTAGTTTGACTAACTTCCTGAGTATTTTTATAACTTTCAATTAGATTTTTATTTTCGTATTTTTTTGTAATTGGTAGTTTACTTTAATTACTTTCACCGAGTAACTTTTACTCAAATTACAAATTACTTTCAAATTTAGGGGTAGGTTTGCTTATAAACATGCAATCCTGCAAAAAAAGAGATACGATGTTTGAAGATCAGCTGATATTTGCTAAGTGGGGGAGCATGCTAAAAGGTTGTTTGGGCTAGTTGGTTGATGAGCACCTTGGTTTAAAACAGCACGACAGGACAAGGACAAAGCGTGTATTGTAGGCAAGGGGGGGGGGGGGGGGGTAGTGGTTTGGTAGGGCCGAAACTCCCCTACAATTTTCTTCTTTTTAGGGGGTAGTGGTTTGGTGGGTCCGAAACTCTCTAAAAAGTTTCACGAGCCTCCCACTGCAACAACCCCATACGAGGTGCGGAAGCGGACATGCCACAAATGAGGCCGAGTTACTGTGGGGTTAGCGCCGACTACTAGCCTTTCTTGCCGTCCCGAAACTTGAGACTTGACGCATTTGAAGAAAGGACTTGTCCCCGCTTCTCCCCAACGTTGGAACTCTCGCCCACTAGAGGAGGCGTACACACTGCATCCTCACTCAAAGGAGGCAACAAAATGCAGCACCCGCTCTGAAACTCATCTGGAACCCCCGTAGTTTGTGTACTACTTGAAGAGTCGCGTGCTAAAGGGCAACGCAAAGGTGACCCATCTGCCGTGCCTTTCCTCACAAGACTCAGAATATGAGGGTCTTCCAAGATTCGAAGATCGTTCGAGAAACCTTAGTAATTTCCCCCTACGTGTTTACAGAAAAAAATAATTATAAACAAGCAGTGTTGAGAAGTTAAGTACATGGTACTTAATCTACTACTTTTAGAGTGTTTAGAAAACTTGTACTTTGCTTGAAGTACATTCTCTGAGCATGTAGTACTTTACTAAAGTTTTTTTCCCGGTAGTTTATGAGGAAAGTGCAACCCCCGACTTCAAACCACAATTCCCAAATCTGAAAACAAATAAAATGGAGTATCGTCATGTGAAAACGCGCTATCGTCTTGCGAGACGTCATCTGGTCATTTCCTTGAATGAAGTAATGGCGGCTATAAGACCGATACAAATCAGTGCCTTAAAATTTGATTGTGTTAAATAGTTTGTCAGCTAGATTAAAACAGCTACCCTGTGACGACTTCATCTAATATGTGTCGCTATTCCCGAAAAAAACTTGATGCACCTTCGATTACCCGTAAAGCAATGCGTACCAGTAAAAAAAAACAAAAAAAAAACAAAAACAACAACAACATTGTATAAAGGACGAAATGGTATCTAGAAATGATAGAAATATTGTGTTAAAATGTGCTTGTATTTTACTTTGACAGTTCATTGTATTTACAGTACCTCACTTCAGGTACATTGCACCCGGTGTACTTGAAGCACATAACCTCTCATTTACTTTGTACTTTACATTAAGTACCTTGTAACTGTACTTTACGCAACACTCTATACAATCAAACACTTCCTGCAAAATTAAGCTCAGACAGTGCTAAACCTCAAAGTATAAACGATGCATCCGCAGCACATCGTTGTCAAAAAAAAAAAAAAAAAAAGTATAAAACTATTAGGCATGCGAGCAGAAGCAGCTAGCAAAGCATTTCTGTCGAAACACAAGCCGCTTTATGTTTGTGTACTTTCTTGTCACCATAAAGAAATATAAAAGGAACTTCAGAAGTGATTATCTACTGTTTTACGGTAGTTAGTAATTTACTCAGTTACCTTTCATTTGAGTAATTTCTATTCTATTTCTTAAGTAATACCTGCGCGTCTACTTACCCGCAAGACACTCGAGGAGCCAATCTCTGCAATCTATATGAAATCAGCTCAGGGAATGATGAGGCGGAACATCTGTTTAGACCTTTAAATGAAGTCTGCGCTGTGGCATCACGCCATGCAAAGCGTCATGCTTGCATTGCGTAATGCCACAGCGCAGACTTCATTTTTAGGTTTAAACGGATGTTTAAACCTAAAAACCTAAACCGCCTCATCATTCGCTGAGCTGATTTCATAGATCGCAGAGATTGGCTCTTTCGGTGTTTTGCAGGTAAGTAGACGCTCAGGCAATGCTTCGAGTGTGCTCAAATTACTTTTGAAGCCAATACTAACTTGACTTAATTACTTTTTCTCAGTAACTTGCACATGTCTGCCTGGCAGTAACTTTTTCTTTCTTGCTTTCTGTTTCTGTTTTTTTACCTTCTATTTTGTGTATAAAATGCAAGGCTAAGAGCTTCATTTGGGGGGGGGGGGAGGGGAGGGGTAATAATAAAATTAGGTGTCACACTTCACTGAAAAGTGTCACACCGGATCCCGAACGTTTCGTAGATCGTTCAATCGAACTTCAGTCGAATTTGTATATCGAACTTCGCGTTACAAATTTAAGAGAACGTCGAACCCGGTTCGAACTCGATCCGTCAGCAAGTTCGCGACACATCCCTAAAGTTATCGACACCTTACGAAACGCAGAGGTGTGGCGAATCCAGGGATCTTATTATCCTTCGTCGGTCAATCAGATCTGTGCATTAGGCGAGGATAATTTCAGAGAGCCAATCATGATGCGAGGAGCTTGATTATAATAATAGGCCTCACCCTGAGCTTCTCAAGCTATCGGTGAATATATTGTCGCCGATAGAAAAGGATCGACGACTGTGTTGTGTCTTGATAGTTATATTTTCATCAGTTCAGTTCAGAAAGCGTTTATTGGCATTTGGGGGAGGGAGAATGGGGCTGAGATCGGTGGCTTACAAGCCTGGATCTATGGCCAAGGGAAGGGGTTGAGGGGTTGAGGGGGGTTATAGATAGGCGGTGAGCCCCGCATCGTGGATGAAATCCACGAGCGTGGTCATAACTGCCCGACGTTTGTCGGGAGGGCCCTGAGGATGGACCCATTCCTCCATGCTGGATACGTCTGGTGGTATGTGTTTTCGGCGAATCTCTTCCAGCTCCGGACAGTCCCAGAGTAAGTGGCTTTGGTCGGCAAGAAGGCTGGGGTCTTGACAGAAGCTGCAATGGGGTGATGTAGGTGGCTTGGTCCAATGCGTCCTGCGTGCCGGTGTGCATGTGGTGTTTGTGATTATCCTCCGGAGCAGCACCGTTGATCCCCTGCCCATTCCGCTCGGGAGCGGATTTACGCAGGGGGTCAGGGCTGCCCTCAGGGTCTGTCTTGAGGATTCTTTAACGAGCTGTTTTGCCTCCTCAGGGTCGTAGTCTGGGTCTTCGCCATCGTCGCCAAGCTCAGGCGGGAGCGAGTACCCGTGTTCTTGTAGGTGACTTGGCACACTACTCGGCTCGCGGGGGGAATCCAGATGCGCGCGGGCCATGCAGTGAGCTTGTACGTTGCCCTGAATGTCTGCGTGGGCAGGTATCCAGGACACTTTGATGGTTGTACCGGCTGCAATTAGGTCGGAGGCCATCCTTCGGATTGCCTTAACTCGCTTGTTCGGGGAGTGGCGAGAGCGACATTCTATTAATGCAGCCGCAGAGTCAGTGAAAATCTGTAGGTGTGTCGGTCGGATTTCCTTCTCGATGACGGTGCGCAGTGCCAGTTGGATAGCTCCAAGTTCTCCGCCCTTGACCGATGTGCCGCCGGGCAATGTTTCGGCCATGGTGATTCCTAGGCGGGGAATCACAACCGCAGCGGAGCAAATCGGTTTAGGGAAGGAGACGAAAGCCGCATCAGTGTATACTGCGAGCTTCTCATTGGTGTCCGTCCACTCTTGGACGAGTTTGCAGTGCTGTCGCACTTGGCAAGCTTGCTTGCCAGGGCGACTGGGCCCGGCTCCCCTTGGTACTGGTCGATCGTCCACGAGGCACACATCGTCGCTCCATGGGGGGTCAACCTCCGGGAGAGGGGGAAGGGCTCTGATATCTGAGCCGATCATCTCTAGGATTTGTCGTCCGGAGGCTGAGTGTTGGAGTAGCTCTAGATGAGCTCGTGCTCTCTCCTCTACGGTTTCTCGAGCCGTGTTGAGCTTCGCGTGTGCCTTGAGCTTGTCTAGCGGTGTATATCGGGGGAGGCCAGTGACAATTCTAGCTGCGTTGTTGGTAAGGATTTCCAGTTTCTTCCATTGTGTGTTGGTAAGTCGGTAGTGGGGGGCACCGTAGCAGATGCGGGAGACGATGAGGGTTTTCACCATGCGGCGGGCAACTTCCTCGTCAGCGCCTCCTCTGGTGCCGCTGATCCTTCTAATGACGTTTAGTGCTGCCTGGCACTGTTGGGTGACCATTGTTAGCCAAGCCTTTGCGGTGCCATCCTCGTGGAATTGTAGTCCTAGGATGCGTACCTCAGGTGCTGATCTGATCGGTTGGCCCGCGAGAGTCAAGTGAAGAGTTGAGCTGATGTTCGCGTCCCTTTCCCGTCTGGGGGCTATGACTACGTAGGTTGTCTTATCCGGCGAGGCGGTTAAGCCTACGCTTTGGAGGTGACTTGTCACGACGTCGATCCCCCGTTGAAGGATGCGCTGTTGTTGCGGAACGTCGCCGCGCACTGTCCAGAGGGAAACGTCGTCCGCATAGATGGTGAAGTGGAGGTTGGATACCTGTTGCAGTCGACCGGGGAGACGCGCCATGGCCAAATTGAAGAGGAGTGGGGACAGAACTGACCCTTGTGGAACTCCTACTTTGTTCGGTTTTGGCGCTGCCAGGTGTTTGCCGATCCGGACCGCGAAGGTGCGAGTCTCGAGGAAAGACTTGATGAAATTTAGGGCGCGGCCTTCAATGCCGAGGGCGCGCGCTTCTTGGACAATCGCCCAGTGTGGGACTATATTTTCATATATCTGAATAACTTCGTCTTCTTCTACGCTATGCGTTCATTCACTTACTTCTTCCTCATCGTCATAATTTTGAATAGTCTCATGAGAGCAGCGCAGGTGATCGGACGTTCCTTCCCGACCCGCCGGGTCCGCTGAGGACTCCATGTTCTTTTAGCGACGAAGATGGACGGCGGATTCGGCGTCAAACCTCCTCAAGACTTCTTGAAGCAAAACAAGGAGGCCGGAAATTCCCTGGGAGCGATGGATTTCGCTCTTCGAACGTTTCATGGGGGCATTTGGCGCTCACGCCCTGCCCTCGGAACGTCGCCGATACCTGCTCCGCCGCTGCCTGGGGGTGGAGGGTCAACAGGTCTTCGATACGTTGCCTTCCTCCTGCGCTGCCGCTGTTCCGTCGCCAGCAACGACGTCGGCGGTAGCCGCTTCTAGAACTCCGGAGAACAGGCGTCTATCAAGAGGCTGTTGGTATACCCGTAGCGCGCACTTCAAGAAGTCGTGCAACATCGACCAGGAGCGTCACCGGTTGCGCCGGCGCTATCAACTGCCCGAAGGTTCATTCCATGGTTATTTGGCTGCCCTACGAGACTTGGCAGTTCCGGCCTATGTCGGTCCTCAACAGGACAAAACCATCCGGGAGAAGCTCACGGCTAAATTTCTGTCCGCTAACATTCGAGAGCGGCTGCTCCTGGCCAGCAATATTCCTTTCGAGCAAATTATCGATATCGTCATATACATTGAAAGGACCAAGATTAAAGCTAAGGAGCTGACCATTTCCACGGAAAACCAACTGACCTGCAACGTCACTCACGCCGCTCAAACGGTCGACCTCCGTCGACAGTCTTCACTTAGAATATCCTCTTCCCGTCAGTCATCGGGGCTGAAATTGTTCTATTGGCATGTTAAACGGCACATCATACCTTTTCACCAAGCCTCGCGTGAACGTTCTTTTCACCTCAAGTAAATCTTCCTACCCTGCCCAGTCGTACAATGACCAGCCATCGACTCCGTCAGGAGTAATGACTCCGGAGCATCAAACGTTTCGCGCTCAAACGCCTAAGCGGCGTGAGGCGACTCTTCGCGACGATTGGCTCTATATACGCGAATTGTTGGTTTTGTGTCGACCGCTGCCAAAGCTACGATACTTGTATGGCCCGAGTAAAGACGTGCAGTGGTTGCGGCCGATATGGACACTTCCAACGCACGTGCGGCCGCAGGCATAGACCCCTTTACCGCCAGAGCCATGTGCGAATTCAGGAAATCTTCTCGGGCGAAGAGAATGACGAAGAGGACGTCTACCACGCATCTGCGCCTTCCCGGAAGGGAATATACAGGGTGTCACAAAAGAAAATTTACACGGTATTTTTGACGGCAAAAATAAACTAGGCATCGCCGAACGCTCATTTTCCGCTCAAAGGTAGAGCTAAAGGTCACAATCAGATGCCAAAGTTTCAGCCCGATCCGATAACTTAATCAAAAGTTATCAGTGATTTTCTGAAAATTTCAATGGGAAAATGGAGTCCATTTTTGCCCGTTTTCGGTTTCTGGTGCCATAGAGCCCCATGTGTTTGAAAACTCCGTCAGCCGCCATTTTCCCATTGAAAATTTCAGAAAATCATTTATAACTTTTGATTAAGTTATCGGATCGGGCTGAAACTTTGGCATCCGGTTGTGACCTCCAGCTCTGCCTTTGAGCGGAGAATGAGCGTTCGGCGATGCCTAGTTTATTTTTGCGGTAAAAAAGACAGTGTAAATTTTCTTTTGTGACACCCTGTACATCAACGTTAATATCGACGGTAGACGTCTTCAGTTTCTTTTAGATAAGGGCTCCAAAAGTACTTTGGTAGCGATGCAAAGACCATTCCACCGCCGGTGACCCTGCTCAACTATTCCCGTCAGCGCATCGAGGTACTTGGAGCCTTCCACCCAACGGTGCAATTTAAAACTCGGTCAGCCAAGATTTTGCTTTGCATCAATAATTCAATAATACTGGAACATCGTTGTTGGGAATGGATGTTGTTAACAATGAGCTGCTATTACATGTAGGCTGACGATCCTGCAGTTGCATACGCACCAGGGGTGCTATGTTGCGCTTTTTGGACTCCCAGGAGACTAGGAAGAGGGAAGTGACGTCAACGACACAGCAAACGCAGATTGGATGTTGACAGAAGAAAACGAAATCAACACCCAATCCGCGTTCGCTGTGTCGTTGACGTCACTTCCCTCTCCCTAGTCTCCTGGAAGTGCAAAAAGCGCAACATAGCCCCCCTGGCTCTGACAGACACGGCGTGCATCTGGACTTACCAGTTACGAATCAGAGTTCTACAAGCACCTCTCAGCAGCACCTGGAGCCGACGACATTGCCTTCAACGGCTGCCGCACATGTCTCAGAACGAGACAAGTCGTCGGAGGACATCGAGGATGCATTGAGGTGATGCATGGTTCTCCAGGAGACCTTACCGTCTGCTGGATCATTGATACCAGCGACGGATTCTGGTTTTGACGGGAAGAAGCTTACACAAGTTCTACAAAGCCTTCTTATGTCTTTGACTAATTTCAAACATTTCTTCACTCTGGAATTCAAAAAGTGAAGATCCGGAGATTAGTGCAGCCCGTGAAACACAAAATACGTCGCGTACCACTGATGCCACGAAAACCTGGCTTCGAAGAAAGTAAAAGCCTTGTGGCAGCAGAAGCAATTGAAGATATGAGTGCCTCGGAGTGGGTTTCACCGATTGTTGTTCTCCAAAAGAAAGATGGATCAATACGGATGTGTGTTGACCTCCGAGATGCGAATAAGACTGTCGTCATTGACAGCTATGTTCTTCCTTATGTTGAGGAACTTCTCAATGCCGTACGGGGTGCAAAGCGCTTTTCTAAATTGGACTTGGTGTCAACCTATGATCAAGTCACACGACCTAAACACGTTCATAACGCACGAGGGCCTATTTCGGTTCAAGCGGGTTTGTTTCGGCCTCGCATCTGCACCGGCAGAATTCCAGCAGATGATGGCTACGGTCCTAGAAGAATGCAAGGGAGTCCTCTTTTTCCTAAATGACGTCGTCGTATATTTGGGAAGTCCAGAGAGAAATATCTGGAGCACTAGCGTCATGTTCTGCAGCCTACCGCTGACGCTAAACAAAAACTGAACAAGTTTTTTTTTTTTTTTTTACGTTGCCGAACTCTCTTTTCTGGATCATCATGTCAGCGGAGAAGGAACTGCTACGCTGAAACATAAGGTGGGCGTCATTAACGCGGCCATCATCTCGACGGACATGTCATAACTTCGTTCATTCTTCGGAATGTGGGAGTACTACAGCCGTTAATTGTCCCTCGCTTTACAGCAGAAGCCGAGCCATTACACAAATGTTTGCGAAAAGACATCCCTTTCATCTGGGATTCTGAAGCTGACAGAAGTTTCAGAAGGATGAAAACACTGCCGCCTTCAGCAAGGGTTCTGAAAATTTTTGATTCAAGCCTCCCTATAATCATGGCTGCAGATGCGTCTGCGTAAGGCCTTGGTGCCGCTCTCCAACACGGCAATGGGAAAGAGATACAGCCGCCGGAAATATGAAGGTGAACACCTTACCTGGTTTCTTGCCTGTTTTACGGCTCCCTAAAGCTATATTAACTCTCAACGTCTCAAATGGTACGTGGCTTGGGTTTCTGAACTTTGCGTTCTAGCCCTCTTCTGGAACGGAGTTTGTTGCAAAACTTTCAGAAGCTTCAAAAACGAGAAGAGGGCCCTTCACTTTCATATCGCTCACGGGTGTACAGGGAGTCGCTTTTGCCTCCCGTACACGCTGCAGAGCGGAAATACTCCGTGGGTGAAGGGAACCACTCGCATGCTTGTGGGCGTGTGAACGATGGCACAACTACCTGTGGGGCCGACCTTTCACTTTTCAAATTGACCATCAAAGTTTGGTGACTCTGTTGGCAACGCGTGGTACAGGCCATCGACCACTTCGAATCACAAGATGGTGGACACGTCTTCTCCGCTTCAACTTTCAAGTTGAAATTCAGCACGAACCTGAAAATCAAGTGACTGAAGCACTATCTTGCATTTTCATAGTCGTACAATAAAGGTGGCACCGAATTTCACGAAGAAATAATTTCCTTTATTGCATTGCATAACGAATGCATCACCAAAGCGCAACTAGAGGCCACAGCTAACGACACAATCTTGACTGCGGTAATGTCGCACGTTACACCGGTGTGGCCTCCGAGACGCACCTTATCCTCCCACGTCACAATATTCTTCGACGTGAGGGATGACCTTGCCGTGGACGACAGCATCCTCCAGGGCGACGAACGGTTCGTCATACCACAAGAACTTCAAGCTCCTCTCTCCGCAACGGCGCGTGAGGTACATCCTTGGATAGTAAAGACGTGCACAACGAAGTGAGCAGACCATGAACAACCAAGTGGAACAGGCCACCTATGCCTGTGACATCTGCCAAGTGGCTGACAGAAGTGCTAAAACGTACACTACGACACTGCAACCGGTGCCCTTCCCAGAACGGCCATGGTCGAGGGTTGGGATTGACATTTGTGGGGCCATTTAATCGTGGGGACTCATCATGCCGCTACGCTATAATCTTAGTAGATTATTTTTCCAAATGGCCGGAGGTGCGAATCTGTGCCGGAGTTACAACCGCTAGAGTCAGTTTTTTTTATCTGATCTTATCTAGATAAGCTTTTCCAGAAAGCATCGTCTCGGAGAGCGGCCCGCAATTCATATCAAAGGAATTTAAATACTTCGTTGACTCCCGTAGAATCAAGCACCATGTGATTTCCGTATATTGCCCGGAAGTCAACGGGCAGGTTGAAAGATTGAATAGAACTCTCAAAGCCTCCTTCATCCAATGTGTAT